TATTATAAAATTAATCAAAATATTCCTTCAACAATCGGTTTTATAAAACTCTTAATTATTGACCACATACCCAGGATGAAGTCAGGGCCCTGGCCATTCCGGCTAGCCTCATCCAGAAGGTAAAGCAGCCCGTCAGGCTTCAGCATCAGCTCGTCCACCGTCCCCTTGTTGTTGTAGTACTGCAGCGGCTGCAGAGGGATTTCCTCCTCTTCTTGCTCTTGCTGCAGAAACAACGTGATTCGGTCAGAAAGGCGATTTCAACTGGATCTAATCTACAAAATTGTATGGCCCGCTCACCATTTCCCATGCAAAGCAACGTTGCCCATAGTGGTACGTCATCTGTTCGTTGAAGGTGTTGATGAACAGGGTCTCCATGGTGTTCCTCGCGTGGTTCTCGAATCCGAACATGTCCGTGATGGTCACCACGTGCTTGTCTCCGCTGCAAAATCATCGATGTGTGCCTTTCAGAATCCATCTCACGTTGATATTAATTATTAATTGGCAACCTGAATGTGATATGCAAACTCACAAGATGGCTCGGTTGTAGGAGAGCTTGTAGTTGATTGTGTTGACCATCCAGTCGACGAGGCGCGCGTACAGCGCTCGGGCCATCACGTCGCGGGCCTGCACGGCCTCCTCGCGGGTGTGCCGCCGCCGCACGGCCGTGCCCTTCTGGATCACGCAGTAGTTGGTGAGCGCCCACACGAACTTCTTCTCTTCCACCGAGAGCAGCTGAGCGACTGCGGGCCCAAATTACTACGTAGTCTACATGCACATAGAAAAGAAAACTCAAAACTGCCGAAAGTATGGCACACACGAGTTCCGTCGCACCTTTGTTGGCCATGTCCGGGTTCTCGACGTCGGCGAAGTTATCCTCGGTGTCGACGAACGTCACCTCGCCCAGGATCAGGATGGCGGCCAAGGTCTTCCACAGGCATTCGCGCTGGTCCTCGTCGAAGTCCAGGTCGATGAGGAACTGGCGCAGCTTCTCGTACTTGGCCACGTTGGCGTCCTGCGTGTTGCGCGGGTCCTTGTCGCTGCACGTCTCGCCGCTCGAGCGCAGGTAGCGATACCCGCTCCCGGGCTCCAGGAGGTAGCGGTCGAGGGAGCTGCTTGCCGCCATGGCGTCGTAGAAGTAGTAGAACACGTGGAAGTTGGCGTTGCCCTTCTGACTGGAAAACGGGAAAAAATAAATTCAGCAATTGAACAGCTTTCTTCTTCAAGCCGTCCTCCCACGATCAAGGTGGTCGCTTACCACTCGGTGGTGACCCTCCACTTCTCCAACTGATAGAGCCAGATGATGGCGCCACTAGCCCTGCCCGTGGCCGTGAAGGTCACCTCCAGGTGGTGCACATGCCTCGTGCTGCTCGGGTTGATGGGCGTGGCCGCGTTGCCCAGCGCCTGGATCACGCTCACCGCCTTCTCCACCCGGTCGCCGGAGCCGTTGCCGCTCTAAAAGCAGGCGAAAAGTAACTCATCTGACGCCAGTCGCCAAATGGCCCTGGCCGCCTGGCCGCCACCACCCAGCTCACCTTGCCGAGGAACAGCAGGTGCGTGAGCATGTGCTTGAAGTTGGTCGTCTTGCCGGACATGGACTCGCCGGCCAGGATGATGCGCTGCGGTTCCTCGTTGTGGAACACGTCCTGGTACGCCGAGTCCGCCACGGCGTACACGTGCGGCTGGTTGTCGGAGCGGGACTTGAACTGGTACTTGCTCTGGCGCAGCTTGCCGTACATGTTGGCCACGTCCGCGTTGGGGTTGACGACGAGCAGCACGTCGCCGACGAACGAGTGGTAGTAGCCGCGGCGGTAGCGCTCCTCCAGCTCGCGCGTGATGGTCTCCTCCGTCAGGACCTCCATGGCAGCCAGGTCCTCCACGACCATGGTCTCCACGGCGTTGGACTGGTCCTTCTGGATGAACCCGTCCCGGACGAGAACCTCCTCGTAGCGCTTGTCTCGAATGGCCGAAGACGCCGTCTCGGCGATCATTTTGAGTTCGGTCTGAAACTGCAGAAACAAGCGTGTGTCACGTGCAGGCGATGCAAAGGGCATTGTGAAAACAGCCCCACCAGGTCGGTCGCTTACGTGGTCGTCGTTCTCCGGGAGGGCCGTGATGAAGGGATGCTCCATCAGTTCTGGCATGAAGGGGCGGTTCTCGGGATTCTTCTCCAGGCACCTTTAAGTAGAGCAACAATCGATTATCGCCACTCGTCGTTGGAGTTGCCTCTCGTCGATCTTGTGCCTGCCTGTACTCACTCCGTGATAAAGTCGTTGTAAAGCTGGGTCCAGTTGGCGGGGCGGTACAGTGCGGGCGGGGGGTTGGTCAGGATCTGGAACAGCGCGCGGGTCGGGTGCATGTCCTGGAGCGGCGCCTTGCCGTCGCCCAGCTCGATCGCCGTGATGCCTGCGGTAGACAGAGAGACAGACGCTGCATCCTCGAGGACCCGAGGGAGGGACACGCAATGGGTGTAAAGCTTTACTCACCTACGGACCAGACGTCGCACTTGTTGTCGTAGCCCTCGCTGTCCTCCTTGTGGGTGTTGGAGCACGCCACCACCTCGGGCGCCAGCCACGCCGGGGAGCCCAGGCACGAGGACTTCCGCCCCATGGTGCTGTCCAGCTCCCTGCAAACGCCCAAAGGTCACAAGGTCATACTGCCACGAGTCGACCACCGCGACCCACGGGGATGCCTGCCGGACACCCACCTCGACAGTCCATAGTCGACCAGCTTGACCTCGCCTGCGGCGTTGAGGAGGAGGTTGCTCCCGCGGACGTCGCGGTGCATGACGTGGTGCTCGTGGAGGTGCACCAGGGCCTGCGACAGGACAACACCGTCTCAGACCTTGCACCTTCCCGACAACGAGAACGCTCGCCTCCTCACCTTGATGGCGCACTTAAGGATGTAGGCGATGTGGTCCTCGTTCATCTTCTTGTTCTGCTCGAGCATGCCGCGCACCAGGTCCGTGACGGGGCCGTGGGCGCACAGCTCCATGACGAACCACACCTCGTCGCCGTCGTCGGCGCGCTTGGCGAACGCGCCGTAGAAGTCCGGGAGATTGGGGTGCTCGCTGAGGTCGCGGAGGACGTGGTACTCTTCCCGAGCATCGTCCAGCCGGTCCTCGTCCACCTGCAGCACCTTCACTGCCACCTTCATGTTGCCTGTAACACGGGGCCGGGGTCAAGTGATGTGGTCAGACGGTCATGGTGGGGTAATGCGATGCGTTGTAAGGTGTCATCGGCGTGTTCGTAGACTCGGTACTCCGTTTCGCTCTTGCACGCGTGCGCCAGCGCAGGAAACACTCACGTCGCCTCTCCTTGTCTCTCCTGGGCCGATCCAATGTCTGCACGCTGAAGTAACACACTTTGATCACCTTGATGGCCACCTTGACTCCATCTGGAACACACTCTCACGCTGTCTGGGGCGACCCCTGTCGCGACCCCTGTCGCTGCGCCGCCACCGGGACAAAACGAAAGGAAGCTAATAACCGAAAAAAAAAGCTCCGAAAATGCAGGCCTAGAAAAAATTATTTTCCGACTTTCGAAGTCACCAAAACCACCAAAACTGGCGCCAACGTGGCACTCATACAAGGAGAAGATATACAAAATCTGTAAGAAAAATTCAAAGAGAGAGAGAGAGAGAGAGAGAGAGAG